CAAAGACATAGAGAATGGACTGCGAAATCCGTATCTAATAGCGTATTCGATTTACTGACTCGACCCGACTCCGAGTCAGTAGTTTGTTCTGTTTAGCTGCAAAAGAAGAGCTAAATTGTGTAAGAAATGCAGCTAAAAAGAATAGACTGTTGACTCAGATTCGGGTCGAGTTAGTAATCGAATACGCTATAAGTAGTGTATCAAATGTGGTCGACAATAATGAGAGAGAAGGACCGTGGAAGACGGCCAATCTTCCTCTCATTCTCTCTCCCATTATACCATTGAATAGAAAGAGATAGTAATGGCCGTCTGCCACGGTCTCTCTCTCTCATCCCTATCGACCATTTTGACACACGGATCGGGCAGTCCATTCTCTATGGCTTTGTGCGCAGCCCCTCAGAAAACGAAGTTTACTGGTTACCGCGTTGCCGCGTTTTGTATACTGTTCAAATGGTAGCTATCAGGATTATGTGTGTAAGAACTATTGCTGCTCTCGAGTAGTTCTGCTTAAGAAATAGGTAAGTAGTAAAATAGTTTATAAATATGATTTTCTCATGTGTGCAAAGAAAATAAATATTTAGATTCTTTATAATACGACCCAGCTAGAAATGAATCGTCATTTCGTCGAATTGATGATTTCGACATTGATTTGACGACGAAGTCTCAATCCGATCATTTCTCGCTGGGGAATCATTATAATAGTATTGTTCGTTTTGTCTCTCGGGAGCTGCTCGGAGTCGCTCCGAACGAACCTAGCATACTTGGATGTAATTCATTTAATGCTGCAAATGCTTCATTGATTAATCAGAAGAAAGAATTTTACGAATTGATTAATCAGAGAATGCTTCGAAGCATTTATAGCGTGAAATGAATTGTATCCGAGTACGCTGGGAGCGATTCCGAACAGCTCCCGAAAAACAAACAATGCTAATGCTGCGTTTGGGAACGTCGCTCGGATGCCTCCGATTCATCATCTGTCCTTGTTTAACATTAAATGTTAAACGAGGACAGATGATGAATTCGGAGGCATTCGAGCGACGTTTCCGAACGTAGCCAATGTAATAAATTGTTCACTACTTTTACGCAGATATTATTAAGACTTTTTATAAGGTTAAGGAAACTACACTAATTTGATAAAAACCATACGGATATAATAATGTATTCTTTGAAAAAATATGACAATGCGTACAAAATAACACGTTCAAGAAAAAAAACCAAAGGATGGATAGTATCTAGCAGTAAAGTATAGATAAAATAATATAAAATGATATATATATATTTATAAAATATAACAATTTTATGTAATTTGTATTGTAACAATTTTAAGTAATTTGTATGTGTAAATGTTATTTTAAGAAAGTTACACAGACCTCGAAAAAATTGCAAAAAGCTTGACGAGTGATATACCAAAAATATATTTGAAGCAAATAGATTTAACAAATTCTACTTCAAGTTCTATCGAAAGTCGTTCCAGTTTTATTGAAAGTTCTACCGAGGGAAGTAAGTAAAAAATTTTTTTTACTAACTATATCATCTTTATTTCTTAAAAAATGTTCAAATTCAAATGGAACCCCTTATTTTTTAACCCGGAAGTGGAAAGAGCGGAAGATTTTACGTCCGAATATGACTTTGACCTTGACCTTCACCGCTACCTTCAAGTGCTCCTTCACCGCTCCATGGTGAGGTTCTATAATTCTTTTCGGTTTGTGTCCGTTAGTTTGGACCTCCCTGTCGGCCAGCATTTAGCATGGTTGAACCTGAGCTGATATA